AAGAATTCAAGTATAAAAAATGAGAGTGCAACAGTACGGTCTCTTGAGCAGTCTTCTTCTTCTTCTAGGGTCACTACACTACACTCGACCTAGACACTGCAGCACACAGGATCTTCCACAGTGGTTGAAAACCTGAAGGTCTCTAAGTCTACAGGGCTCTAGTAATAGGGGGCATTCCAGGAGATGTCCCATAGTCTGGCCCCGCAGTCACATTCGATTGGGCCAACTTCAATGTATCCCCATTTCTGCACGAGTGCCCTTGCATGTGCAAATGTGGACAGCTCTTATATCCTGTAGTACAGTACTAGTAACAGTAGACTGAATAGTTCAGTAAAACTCGCATTTGTAAGTCGTCATCGTCTAACTCGTCAATTCGCATAAGTCGTCATGGAAGTCAAAGTCCCAATTTTCTCTCATAGTAAATCCATTAGAATAGCCCTGCCTAAGTCGTCATTTATAAGTCGTCATTATGTACAAGTCGTTGCCATCAGACAGGTCCCATGTAATACAAACAACAGTAATTTCCCATCTGTAAGTCATCATCAGAAATGCCGATGGCGCGCGTGCGTGCACAGTGTACGGTCTAGCGGATGTGCGAGCTGGCTGTCGCAGATATGCGCTAAAAGTTTGGGTTGAACCCACGATCGCCTGTAGATCGCGCGACTGAGTTTACATGAGTTGTTGCTGTGCACTGATTGTTTGTCCAAACGTGTAATCAACAGCAGGTGTTACAGATAGCCAGCGTGTGTCGCGCTTGCCGCTAGTGCGTACGATGTACGTGCGTTATGGCCAGCAGCGGTGTCGATTGATGTACGGACCTGATTGTTTCATGTCTGTGGCGTAAAGTGATGTCACGTGCGGAGCATGTTTATGACTGCGTAGGGGTGACGGGCGCCTGGGAGCACAGCTCTTTATATAACAGAGTGGCTATATGCCCGGCAGCCGGCATATATCTGACGGCTGCCGGGCACGGTCGGGGTTAGGGTTAGAAACTGCCGGGCATTTAGGAAATCGAAGACCGTGCCTGGCTGCCAGGCATATAGCCACAGCGTACATATAAGTCGACAAAATGAACGTCGTCATTTTCGTAAGTCGCCACAAATATGCTGCATTGCTGGTCCCAAAAGTGTCGACTTATGCAAGTTTTACTGTACTGTCTGTAGTACTATAAATATATTATAATACAACTTCAAGTTGAAATACTTACTTTACTACTTTACCATGTTTCTCCATGATTTTGTAGATGTCATTATTCGTAAGCGAAAAAGGAATATTAGACAAGTACACTGTACTTTTACTTGGAGCTAGTCCGCCACTCATTCTGCTACTTCTGTACTGCTGTACAGCTACAGTACAGACTACACTGTGTGTAGCCACAAGTTCCCTTTTCGCTTAACACTACGTTGGCGAGAGGGGACGTTCCTACGACGTGTAACAGTCGGAGAGCCTGGTCGGTTTACACTGTGTGGTGTGTCGGTTAGACAAGACACTGACTTACTCTTTTACTTAGTCTTACTCTCTTACTCTTACTCTTAGACTTAGACACTACTCCGGAACTGATGCAACCAAAACGGAAAGACTAAGAGATAAATACTTTCTTTAGTTATGTACAGAAGTGCAGTAACGTTAATACAGGTAACGCTGCTAATTCAACAACTTTCGTGCCCTCTTCTCAGTCTCTTTTACACGAGAAAAAAAGATAAACAAACATCGAATTCACGCGACCTCTGCGTTCGGCACTACACACGACTCGCATACGTCACGCACGTACCGCAGTGGGGCGCGACGGTAGGTGTTTAGTTTAGAAGATTTGATGATCAGCTGATATCAAGTAGGGAAGGGAACGAGGTTGAGGTGCATTTTATGAGAGATTTTAGCATAATAAGAGTAATTACTGCAGCAATAAGGTTAACGCTGTTTCTATTGCAACTGTAGTAATGATAAGTATCGCAGATGTATCAGGGTTTAGAGCAGATTGCAGCATCAATCAAATATGCAAACACTACCAGTGTCATGCAGTGCCATGCAGTGCCAGGGGCATAGATATAGAATCTAAATTGTATTGTACCGGTACTCTAAGTAATGGTGTATTCCACTAGTGCACTACTATACTAGCGAGTATTGTTCTTCAGGTTTGTTGTATTCTTACAGGTCCGTGCAACAATGGCAGCAAGCGATGCTCACGTGATTGTGAGTGTTGACGTGAAAGATGTTCGCTTTCCCACGTCACTGGAAGGTGACGGATCTGACGCCATGGTAATTTGCATCTGATTTCAGCCATCCTTTGTTGTCTTCTTTGCTATCGTCTGCTTCTTTACTATATATGTCTTCATCAACATCTTCTTAAATATATCTCCTTCCCTAAATTCTTCCTCCTCGCTCCTCCTCCTCCTCCTCCTCCTCCTCCTCCTCCTCCTCCTCCTCTTCTTTCTTCACCATTGTCTTCGTCAACATCTTCTTCTTGATTGTCTCTTTCTCTTCCTCCTGCTCCTCCTCTTCCTCCTCCTCTGCTTCCTCCTTGTCTCTCTCTTTTCACTCTCCTTTCTTTTTCCTCTTCTCTTCCTCCCCTTCTTTCTCCTTATCCAAACCCTCCTCATCGATTTTCTTTTTGTCCTTCTTTTCCTACTTGATCTACTTTTTCCCGTCTTCCTCGTCTTTATTTCTCATATTGTGTTTCTTTGTTATCGGCCAGGGTACATTGATGGCTCAAAAATCATATTTGTGTAAAATATCAACAGGCGTGACACACGATGACAAGTATCTCATACTAACCATTATGTGTATCTCACGACAATCCATTGGAGTCGTGTGCATGTCGTCTATGTAATTATACAGAGTGAATCCGGCAAATCGAGCTCGGGGGTTTCGTTGACAGATGAAGATATCTTTTGTTGGCTCACTGGTTAGTTCACCCTTGCAGGCACACAGATGCCAGATTATCATGTGCGCTAGGTGATCCTGACAACAAGTCTTGCCCTGAAGGCCAAATGGCCTAACATTTACTATAGGAGAGGAACGATGATAGGTGAGATACGCATGGGGGGGCCATGCCTACTCTGAGTAAGCAGTGCTGCCATCCCCCCCCTCCCCCCTCCCCCCCCCCCCCCTCCTGCCATTTTGTGTGCATTGTAACGCTTTCTATCATCATTCCTGTTTTACAGCATCACTCGGAATATAATCGACGCAGAGAGAAGTCAGACTTCCCACTTCTCCCGTTTGGGCGGGAGATCTCTCGTTTTTGGGGGCCATTGTTCCCAAAATCTCAAATTCTCCGCTTTAAGCTGCATTTTCTCCCCGCTTAAGTTTTGTTTCTCCCCCCCAACCTACAAAAGTGTAATAACAAATTTAAAAAAAATAATAATTTGATCGAGGAGTAAACAATAGAAAACACTTCAGTCTTTAAAAAAAGGAATAAAGGAACAGAATTAAGGCAGCAATATCTACAGATGCTATTACTTTGTTCTTCATAAAATTAAGGCAAACACATATGTATAAATTTGCTTGTTTCAAATACTAAAAAAAACATAAATATCCAGAGCTTCCGGGGTGCTGCCCCTGACCCGCCCTAAGCTGGGCCGCCTGAACGCCGCACCTGTAATGGGCTAGCGCAGTGGCGCTCGCAATCCGCTGATCCGCGCG